CCAGGTGGTTGGAGGAAAGGAAGGTTTATCACGCTAGCGGACCAGCACCTGGATATTCCAAAAGGGCGCAGGCCCAGAGCTCAGGGTGGTTGAGGTTTTTATACTGAGAAAAGCAGCAGCAAGCAAGCAGGGAGTGCAGAAGTAGACTTGGCAGTTAGCTGTTCAAGGTTACAATATAGCATGTCAGCACAGCTGTGGACGAAGGCCATCCACAGTTTCTATAGCTGGGTGCAGGGGCCCCAGCTAAGGGGAAGGGCTTTACTTGTCTTTGATCCTTTCCCTGGCTTTGCTTTTTCTGGGTTTCCTTATCACCGTCATGAGGAGAAAAGAGAGAGCACCATTTTCTACAAACTGAGGCTATGCCCAGTGGAGAGGGGTGTGGGAGTCATGCTAGAAATGCTTTTACCATTCAAGTAATCAACATGCAATCGTTGTGAATTGTGATACTGTAATTCAACACAGGCTGTGAAAATTTTAAATTGGATTTATTGTAATTAGTCTACATAATAATAAATTAGTCTACATGTCAGGAATACTAGTTCTCATTGAGTCTTCACCACTACTTTGCTAGGGGACAAGTCACATCCTGTCCCTGGAGTTCAACCAACTGGTGGAAAACCAGGAGAATGGCTAAGGCAGGGATTCTCAGCCTCCACAGGACTGCCCCTTTGGACTGGGAAATAATGGGGGGAGGAGTGGAAAGAGGAACTTTCCTTTCAATTATAGGATATTTTAAGGCATCCCTGGTCTCTGCACATGCGTTGTTTATTTGTTCTTTAAGGAAAAATAATAACCAAGGATTTAGAAAATGAAAGCAGAGAATTTGATGGTACAAGGAAAGTAAATGTGGTGTCACTATCAGCAATCTGAAAGTAGAGTCATACCGTACCTGGAGGTGTGTAGGAGCTTACGATGCATTAGTGTTATTCATGCAGGGGTCAACACTCAATTATACTGGATTTAAATTTAGTAGGGTCTCCTATTGGGGGCTTCACTTGAACAATGAAAAGAACATGTAATAGGTGGTTGGTTGCCTTTTGCAGCAGAGTGTCCAATTTGGAAACCAGCCATCAGTGCTTTCCAATCATAATTTAAATTTATACTTCCATAATTGTTTTCAGATGCATTTGCTTGTTGTTCATTAAGTTACTTTGTAAGCTGGCACAAAGTAGCAAACTATTTCTCCTCCTTCTTCCCTCCTTCTTTTACTGTGTCCTCTTCCTTCCTTTCATCTCCTGCTTTCTCATTCCTCATCCCTCTTTTTTTTTTTTTTTTTGGTGGAACTGGGTTTGTATACAGGGTTTCCCACTTGCAAAGCAGGCACTCCATCACTTGAGCTATGTCTTCAGTCTCTTTCTCATTGTCTGTCTTCATTCTCCTTCTTTTCTTCCTCCTTTTCCTTCAATGTTGCTAAGTCCAAAGGGTGATGAGGGTTGAGAGAACCATAATTTCAGGAGAATCTAAATGTGTAGGATTTTAGGATAGTGAGGCAAAAAGACCTGGATGTCCTTCTGAGGCAAACTTAAAAACAATTATTCCCTTCTCTTCAGGCCTGAATATATCATGCTTTAATCCATCTAAACCTCTCATCCCTTCCCCATTACTTTTTCTCCATCACCATGCTCCCCTAATATTCAACAGCTTGCAGTGCAGTGCATATTATATTCAAATATAGATGGGCTATTTCATTATTTTTTATTCTGTAATATTTTCTTTAGCTGTCTTGCCCATGTAGTCTGCTCAGACAGACTCACTAATACAATTTTGTTCTCTCTCTCATTATGTGTGTGTGTGTGTGTGTATGATCATATATTTATCTATATATACATTTAACTTGTAGGTCTAGTTTCCAGGAAAACCTGTGACCTTTGACTTTTTGAGTCTGGCTTACTTCCCTTCTCTTGAATTGCCACATTCCCAACCCAACAGAGAATTTGCACATCACTTGTACTTGCCAAGTTAAATATTCCCCTGGACTGCTCTGTCAAAGGACTGACCCATTTAAAAAAAAAAAAAATGTTCTGTTATTTAGGAAATTCCCATTGCTTTCGCAATTCTATTTGAACAGCTGAATGGTAGTTTCATTAACCACAATTCCTTATTTTATTATCATAATCCTAGCTTATTTAATTGCTTGATACTAACTGTATTTTTGAAATGCTGAATCCTGCAAAGAAAATGCTTTAAGAAACAAAGCAAAACAGTGTAGCTCTTGAGCTACCAAGCTGTATGCTATTTTTGAAGTGTGGACTGAACATTGCATAACATACCACAGAAAAAGACTGTACTAACTTTTCTGCTTCCTAGGAGCTCACAATTTGTGGGGGATGGGGTGCAAGAGAAGAGTAACCTTTGCAAGCTGTGGTATTCAATGGTAAGATAAAGCAGAAAGAAACTAGTCAGAATATCAGAACTAGTTTCAAAATCCAGATTTGTCACTACCTACCTAGTGGGCAATCCACATGCTATCTCTAATATTCAAAACAGCACAATTTGGGGGGAAGGGCTCGCTGATCTTTCAGATCCCTTCTAGCTCTGTAACTTGGGGAGTCTTGAAGGGAGAGCCAGACACACCAGTGCAGCTGCTTAGTTTTCACAAGGCACATATAGTCACTGAGTAGGATGTCACACAAGAAGTCAGTAGTGCCTTGGAATAATTATCAACATAAAGGGAAAAAAGTAAAGTTCTTATGCAGAAAGCCTCAGACTCTTAGAGCTCACGTGAGTAGCCAACTGTGTTGCAGCAGGGTAGGATAAACAAATTCATAGGAAAAAGCAAAACAAACACTATGATGCCCATGATAGAAGATACTAAAATGCAATGGTGAACAAACCAAAGCATATCTATGCTGCCCACAGCTTAGGTATCTGTGAGTACCAGCCCCAATCCAGGCAGGAAGGCTGACATCTGAGGGGTGAAAAGCTGTCAAGTCTGGATGATGCTCACCTGGCAAGTAGGAGCCCCCCTGAGTGGAAAGGGCAGACCCTTGATTCTCAGACTGGCAGCCTTCTCCCCTGGCTAAGAGGATGATGAGTGCTGGGTTAAAATGTCAGGGCCCCATAAAGTGAAACCACTGCAGGGCACTTTCTTCTCTGCCAGGTGTCCACAAGCCTGAGCTCCTTCCAGCTTTAAATCCCTTTGGTCAGAGACCATATCAGGCTGGCATGTCATTTTCTACCAGCCACCATCATTACCTGACATGTAGAAACTGTCATTGAGGGATAGTGAGAAAATTTGAAGGAAGCCTTTAAAAAAGACATTTTATATATATAAGGGCATTGTATATGAGGGCATCAAAGGAAGGAAGCAATAAAGAAAGGTTCCCTGGCACCTTGAAACCATTTTGAAATACTTTTTTTTTTTTTTTTTTTCGGTATTGCAGTTTGATCTCAGGGGCTACACCTTGAGCCACTCCACCAGCCCTTTTTTCTGTGAAGGGTTTTTCCTAGATAGGGTCTTGTGAACTATTTGCTTGGGCTGGCTTTAAGCAGGATCCCCTTATCTCTGCCTCCTGAGTAGCTAGGATTACAGGTGTGAGCCACCGGCACCTGGGTTGACATACATTTTTAAAACATAAGTATTAGAAATACTTGTGTGCTAAAAATTGAATAATCACAAAATCTGACAAAAACAAATTTAAGTGTTTTCTGACCAGAGGTGACTTAATATAGGACAGAAATTGATCCTGCCTAATGCTGGGTAATTTGACTCTTGCTGTATAATGAATCCTGCGCTTTTGTGTCCACACTCCTGATACAACTTGCACAACCCCACTGCTGTTCTCCCCAGCAGCTTGCAGTAGAACAGCAGTTCTCAGCCAGGTGTGAGTTTGTGCCCAGAGGACATTTGGTAAAGTCTAGAGATGCCCTCGGTTGTCATGACTGGGGGTGGAGGGCACACAGCACTACACTATGGAGGCTGCTTAGTAAACATGTGGCAATGCTCAGGACAGCCTCCCAGAACAGAGAACTACCCAGCCCCAAATGGCAACAGTGCAGGGAAGCCTTTGAACTGGGCAGCAATGGCTGTCATGCTTTTTTTGCTGGTCCCGGTGAGGTGCATTTCACATATTTTACATCAACCCAGAGCACACAGTTGCATATGTGTACTCACGGCATAAATGGAAATATGAAAGTTTCATCAATTATACTTACCTTTACCACACATGATACACTGACATTTCCCATGCTATTGGAACTTACAAGATGCTACTCAGAACCCACAAGTCTTGTTTCTAACCCACTAGTAAGTCATGACCCAGAGTTTAGAAAACATTGATATAGCAGACTTTGGTGTCAAATAAAAGTGTATTTAAACCAGGATTACCACACCATGTAACAGCTATCAATATCCTCACCTGTAAACTCAGAACAATAAAGGTTCTATGCCAGGTGATTTTATGATGATGAAATGAGCATAAAAATGAGAAACTTCCCACTGTGTGGTAAATACTAATCATACCTTAGTTGCTTTCCTTGCAATATAAAGTTATGTAGCAACTACTCTTTCTATAGGCAGTACATAAAATCAATGCAGCAGTGGAAAAAACAGACTCCAGAATAGAAGGAAATCAGCACCTCTCCTGTGAGAAGTTAGGTTTGGGCTCCAGTCAGAGTGAGACTGAGCCTTATTGAAAGCTTCTGAATAAAATGCCCCAGATGCTGGGGAGCCTGTGCTCCTGATCCTCTCCCTGTCAGTGCTATGTCTGGTTTTAAAGGACTCTGGCCAGGCTCCCAGGTCCTTCAGCACTGTAGCACCTGGGCATCTCTGTTCACATCCTGCAAGTAAGGCAACTGCAAACATGAACCTGGTTTGGAACAACTTCAGTATGGTGCCATTAATGGATGAGAGTTTGGATCTTCCTTCAAACACTCCAGTCCTTCCATGAAGAAGGAAGATAGTCTTTGTGTAGTGTTGTATTATTAACCATAATCCCAGCATACACTTTCCTTCTGTGTGTTCATTCATTCATATTTAGGGAAACCACAAGACTGCTATTATGGTGGGCAAACCTTTGCTTCACTACTTCAATGGACGGGGCAGAATGGAGTCCATCCGGTGGCTCTTGGCTGCAGCTGGAGTGGAAGTAAGTTCTGGGTTGTGTCATTGCTAGATAGACTTAAAATTGACTGTATTTGATACTTTTCCCATGTCAATTAGGAGATATTTCTCACTGAACAATCTCTCAAGAAGTGTACCTTGGCACAGTATGGTCGTGGTACATGCCTATTGCTCCAAGCACTCAGAAGGCTGAGACAGGTGGATTGTGACTCCAAGGTCAGTCAGAAACATAGTCAGACCCTGTCTCAAAAAAAGAAAAAAAAAAAAAAAGCAGAGAGAGAGAGAGAGAAAAAATTGTGCCTTAAATAAAATTCCAAGTTTTGAAGATAAACATGAACAGACTTTACCTAAAAATAGTTAGATTTCTTCTTTTCAGTGAGCTCAGACAGTAAAATAAATTTAAGGAACTAGTCACAATATACACATTTTATTTGGATGAGGCATTAAAGTGTAAAAATAATTTGTAGCATTGTACAAGAATTAGAAATATGAATTTTGATGGAATATCTGGCGACATTAAAGAATCACTACTGTTATAGATGAAGTAATGAGTTGTGTTTTTTTTCTGACACAGTTCCTATGTTTTAGAGAAAGTACTTAGGGATGAAATATATGCTATCTGATATTTCCTTTAAATTATTACAAGAGAATTAGTGGGAATAGATGTGATGGCATTTGCTTTAGTTGATGATCAGGGAAGCTAAGCAAGGGGTCAAGGACCAGCATAATACTTTATTATAAAGTTTCCATAATGCAAGGATTAAAATGTACAAAGTTTGAAAATGAAGTGGAAATCCAAACCACTGAGTGGACAGTGACAACCTGCCTGATACCTAAGTAACACATTCACTAAGCAATGCGTATGCTGACTACCAGTGCCAGGTTCATTTAGGTCCTGGACACAAATCAGATGTCCCTGTTCTTGGGTGTCCTGTGTGTTGACAACAGTGCAGAGACATGAAGAGATTATTAAAATGGAGGATGGCGCATCTGTGGGAACATTCAAGCATTTCACAGGGCTGAAAGGTCATTCCTCCTAGTTTGAGCAGGACAAGTTGGTAGGTTTCCTTGTAACTCTGAGTGCTGCCCCCTGAAGTCATCACTGGGGAAAATACTTCTCAACCCATACCTGAGGGATAAGAGACTCTGTGACTGGTTGGCTTACAGGAACCCATGGGCATTTTCAGGAGATTTTGGCCCTGAGGTGGGAGCTGCAAAGGCTGTGTGTGCATAACCCTGGGATTACACTTTCTCAAATGCCTCATGAATGCATAGGACTTCAGCTTGATCCTTCTCAGTTTTGAAGAATCAACAGTAAATGCAAACTCTAGTGCCTTTCCAGGTTGTGTTAATTCTACAAATGGGTAACCTGGTTTCCCTGTCATCCAGATATTTGCCTTATCATTCAGGGACACATTCCAAGCCTTTGGGCAGGATGAATTGCAAATGAAGGGTGAAGTGGGGGCAAAGCCCTCAGCATCCAAGGCTTCCTCTCCTCTGTCCCAGTGTGACTACAGAAGGTGGTGGGCAAGGGCCATCTGGAGACCTTGCTCAGACCTTGGTCATAGCCTGATCATTACAGCCTCATCCATCGCCATCAGCCTCACAATCAACATCACATTCAACAAGCACATCCCTCTCGGCCACCATCATGTGATGATGAGTGTCCATCCCTTATATTTTTCCTCAATGGACACTTGGCAAATTGCTGGCCCACACCACCTTACTGTCTCTATAGCCTGATTCTGTTGATCATGTAGATCCATAAGAAACCATTCCACTGAGCATTCCAAAAATGAAAAAATTTCCTGACCATATCACCATGAACTATATTAAATCATAACCTCTGCAAGCAGCATTACTACTTCTTGCTTGGTCTTATGTGGGTCAGGCTCTATACCATGTGTTTTGAAAACATTATAATATTCTATTTAAGAAAATGCCTTTCTGGGGATAGCATCACATACATGTACTCTTAGCTACTTAGGATTCTAAGACAGGAGGGTCACTTGACACCAGGTGTTCAAATTGGGCAACATAGCGAGACTCTTTCTCAAATAAAATAAATAAATAGAAAATGCTCTACCTTCATTTTACAAGTGAGGAAATGAACTGTGAGAGATCTCACATTATAATGACAGCTATGTTAGACAGCTATTGTAAGACAGAGCCAAAATTGGAAACAAATAATACCAACTTCAAAATACAGGAATATTCATAATTGTCTCCTTAGACTTAATTTTTAGATTCTATATATGAAGTCAAGTGTAACATATAAAAATTCAATTTTGGTTTATTGAGACAAGATCTCACTAGTTCAGTGGAACCTTTAACTTGTTGTGATCCTCCAGCCTTAGCATCCAGAGTGCTGGGATTACAGGTATGAGCCACCATATCTTGCCAAACCGAGTGCTTTCATTGTAGAAAATAATGGCACATATATGGCTTCAGATCAGGTTGAGACAGCCCTGCCTCTAACTGACTTGCCTGTCAAAGTGACTTCTCTCAGGAAAAGGTTGACCTTTCTTGAGGCATGTCAAAAACAAAGTAGATGTTCATCAATACTTGTTAGCTTTAGAGGGAAAAAAATAATAAAAGGATGTTGTAATGAAATATCAGGCATCTGTGAAAATCCTAATGACAAGTTGTATTCCTAGCGTACTTCCTACCCACCTGGTGCATGCCCTAGTAACTTACTCCTCATACCAACTTAAACATAGATACCATATCTAGGCCCATTTCGTACAGTGGAATAGGGACACAGATTTGGTAATGGGTCCAAGGTCAACCCAGTACATGAAAAATGTCATAATAAATCTATACGGACGTATTGCCACCCCAATGTTTTGGTTAAACTTTGTGTGGGTGCTCTGATGACTACACACAAGATCACAAAATTTGTGTTTCTATAAATGTTAGTGCGGGGAACTGAATTCCTTACTTAAACTGGGAATTCCACTACAATGCCCCATGTTTCCAGGTAGGAAATTCCAGTTGTGAGAATTAAAGCTGTGCAAAACTACACCTGAGGTCCTGGGGAATGGTGTGATGTAAATAAGAGACTCCTTGCTCACTGAGAAGGAGATGGTCATTGGCCCATGACATGCCACCTGCTGAGGATATGAAAGACCTCTTCTGATTTCACTTAGAGACTCAGACTCCTTAAGATATTAAAACTCCATAACCAGAACTCGGCATACCCTTCCTTGCAGTGAAATCCCTCCCAAATCATGAACTGTAGATATTGATGGTGTTTAGGCTGTGGATAAAGCAAATGTAAGAATGAGCAGCTTTGAGCTGAGACTGGATCTTCTTTTGGTGGATCTATTGGGAATTTCCAAATGGCTGAGATCAGACTCTGTGTTGTACACAGATAAACTCAAATATCTCATCTTATTCATAATATGTACCAAGAAAGAACCATTCAACTTGAAAAACCTGTAATGCTATGGAATAAACTTACAACTTCTCATTTACTTTTTCTGCTTTCCAGTTTGAAGAGAAATTTATGCACACCAATGAAGACCTGGAAAAGTTAAGAAGTGGTAAGAAAAGTATAAATATTGCAAATTATGGTATCGATAGAAGGTTTTTTGTGGTACTGGATTTTAAACTCAGGGCCTCGCACTTGCTAGGCAGGCACTCTTCCACTTGAGCCACTCCTCCAGCCCTGTTTTGTGTTGGATATTTCCAGACTATTTGTCTGGACTGGCTTTGAACCACGGTCCTCTTGATCTCTGCCTCATGAGCACCTAGGATTACAGGCATAAGCCATCTGTGTCCAGCTCAACAGAAGGTTTAGACACTAGGTAATGCCAGTGTGTTGATAGGGTGATAGTTGGGGATGGTGGAGAGTCAGAGAGTGGTTAAAATATAAGGGATGGTGGTCAAAGAGCAGGACTGGCAACTCTCTTGGGGCTATAAATGGATAGACAACTCTGTTTGCTAAGGAACCATCGCAGGGCCTAGGAAAATACCCTCTCCTTGCTTTCTCTTACTTTCTGTACCATAATTAAATTATAATCAGCTCAGGTTCCCACACTACCTTACATCCAAGTACACACAGAGCTATGCATTAATGACAGGAGGAGAAAGAAGTTCAAACTTATCTTGTATTCTGTAATAAATAGGTTGGTGTGGTGATTCCCCAGTAATTTTGTAGGACTGATAATGAGATCATGTTGAATTAGTTGTAAGTCCAGGTAGGTGATAGCAGCAGCCGTGGGGAAAGGACTCATGCATGCCTGTGCACATGGTCTAATGCTTTTGTTTGAAGAGTAAACAAGAGCCCTCCATAGTGATCTCTACCACAACTTACCTTGATGTCGTGAATACCAAGAAACACTAGGAACTTATTTCAAATGGCTTCTGACTGGCCATGCAGTCTCTTCCAGTTTCTTACTAAGACATTTGTGAAGTTAAGTCAAGAAAAAGAAATTTAAGTTCCTTAATATATATCTGGAAGGTTAGTAAGAAAAAAAGAAAGAAAATGAAAAAGAACTACAGGAAGCCAGAAAAAATGTATTAGAAATGTTACCAAATGATAGCTTTATTTCTTTTTATATTTTTAGTCATTTTGACATTTTTCATCATGAAAGAGTGTGACTCATAGACATTTCACTTTCTTTTGTTCTTCTTCCAAAAGATGGAGTTTTGATGTTCCAGCAGGTGCCCATGGTGGAGATGGATGGGATGAAGCTGGTGCAGACCAGAGCGATCCTCAACTACATTGCCAGCAAATATGATCTCTACGGGAAAGACATGAAGGAAAGAGCACTGTATGGTGTATTTTCTGTCTTTACATCAACAGATAACAAGGGAAGGGTTTAGATGCTTCATTGAAGGAGCAAACCATGTTGGGGGAATCATGGCCAGCAGCAATCTAGACATGGGCAATATCCACTAAGTTCAGTTATGGCAGAATCCTGTAGTGGTAAAGGAAGACTAAACTAGGAGTGTATTCAGGTGAGTGTGATCATAGCTGAGGATGATGTTCTCGACACAGCACAATGACAAAGGTTTGCAAACACTGGTCAGCCTTGAATTTAGCAGGATGATGGGATTGTGATTCCAGATGCTCAAGCTTTCCAAGGTTGCACTGCCCCTTCATGCTTGCAACAAGGGACAAAGTGTTTAAATGATTAGGGATAAAGGTTTAAAAACAGAAAAAACCTGATATGCTGATATTTAATTTTCAGTAATGATCACAATGGTGAGCAGGAATTTATTTACTTGCTCCTCATGTGGATTGCTCAATGTGACAAGGTTGAATAAAGGCTGGCCCCCGTAATACTGGAGTCACCTGAGTAACACCTTGTAGGACTAAAGCAGGTAGACTGAATCAGCTTGTCCAAAGCTGGCAAATTTCCCCCAGTTACTTTAAATGATAATTTATGATATGAGAAGTTTGGGGGAAAAGATTAAGATTAACCAATCAAATCGTGGAGCTTAGGAACTTGGTACATGAGTTTAGAAATACAGTTGAGAGCTTTAACAGCAGAATTCACTTTGCACAAGAAAGAATCTCCTAGCTTGAAGACAGGTCTTTTGAAATAACCCAATTGGTTTTTAAAAAGAGGACAAAATTGTAAATGAATAAAGCCAAATCATATGGGAAGCTAGCAAACAAACCTTCACGTAAGAACAGAAGAGAAAAGGGATGAAAAACTTATTTGATCTAATAATTGCTGAGAACTTTCCATATTATGACCAAGATATGGAAATCCAGGTCTAGGAAGCTTAAATGACCCCTACTAAATTCATCAAAAAAGATTCGTACTGAGGCACATAGTCAAACTGTCAAACTGTAAAAGTCAAAAAGAATTCTAAAAACAGCAATCTTAAAGCTTCAGGTTACTTATAAGGGAATTTCCACAAGAATCCTATATCTAGCAAAGCTATCCTTCAGAAATGAGGGAGAAATATACATTCCAAGACAAAAATGAGGGAATTCATCACCACAAGTCTGGCCCTACAAGAAATGCTTAAAGGAACCCAATACTAGAAGCAAAAGAATGATAACTTCCATCATGAAAACATAAAAGTACAATACTCAGCCATAGAACAGATCCACAAAAGAGAAAGAATTTAATTAAATTCATATAGAAAAACACACCAGAAAGGTGAATCAGGGAGGAAACAAAGAAGAAAGGATACTCAATACAACCAGAAAAAAGTGAACAGGATTACAGGAGCATGCTTTAATTATCAATCATAACCTTGAATGTAAATGGATTAAATTTCCCAATTAAAAGATATGGATGGGCTGAATGACCCCAAATATCCTAAGCCATCCTGATGAAAAAGAACAAAAGTGTAGGCATTACAATACCTGACTTCAAAGTACACTATCAAGTGGTAGCAAGCAAAGCAGCAACTGGAATAAAAACAGACACACAGAACAGTGGGATAAAACACTATTATCTTTAAAAAGTACTGTAAAAGTCCAGTTTGGCACAAAAGAAGTAAAGGTCCCCTGTAATAAGCACTAGTTTACATATAAGCACATTGTATACATGTGTTGAAATACATGTGTCTTCTCAGGGTGTTTTGGGTGGGGTCCCAGGAGATGCAAGCATGACTGGAGTCAACAGTACATGGAGAGGGTTGTGGAGTCACGTGTTGTGGGAAGTCACAGGGAGAGTTTCTAACATTGAAAATCTGAGCCTGGGCTGCGTAACAGGGTGAGAGGAGCAGGACATGTTTCAAGCTGTCTTGAGCTGACTCAGCAGTCTTTAGCTCAGGATTCACAGCATGTTTGCACAACCCAAGCCAGTGCTACAGTGTCACAGTCAGCACTGTGATACTTCAGACCTTGTTTCTAGGATTGGTTACATGCAGTGACTGCACCAGGTTCTCAGGACTGTGACTCTGCAGGGGCCACGATGCTCTTTGTTCCTGCATTTGGTCACATGTACAACAAAAATTTTAGACACACGTGCCTTCTGCAGATTGCATAAAGAAACATGTTAATGTACAACTAAAATCACAGCACAGCGGCTGGCTCATGACAGACCCCACTGGAGGTGAATTGTACTTGGCCACCACTTGGTGCTGTTTTCTCTGAGGTTTTTAAACTATAAAGTCTAAGGCAGGAGCCTTTGGCAGTTTGGTTGTTTTTGTCTTTCAGGATTGATATGTATTCAGAAGGTTTGGCAGATTTGAATGAAATGTTTATTAATTACCCATATTATCCATCTGAGCAAAAAGAAGAAAACCTTGCCCTGATGAAAGAGAAGGCAAGAAACCGTTATTTTCCTGCCTTTGAAAAGGTAAGTGCAGGCTTCTTTTTGGCTTTATGGACAATGAGAGTTCAAGGGAGCAGGGCATGATGGCACCCCAGAAATCCCAATGCTCTGGATAGTGAGACAGGATTGTGGGTTCGAGGTCAGCCTGGCCCACTGAGCACCATGCTTTCAGGAGGTGACATAGTAATGCCCAGTCTCCAAAGTCTCCAAACGTTTAAAGGGTGGCTTAGTCTTGCAGAGTGTCTCAGCAGTTTCTCTGGTATGAGAAAATGCCATAGACTAAGTAGCTCGTACACAAGACGTGTACTCTTCACAGCTCTGAAGGCTGGGAGGGACAAGAGCATTTTCAGTCACTGATGAGGATCTACACTTGCTTCATGGATGGCTGACATCTGGCTGTGTCCTCATAGGCAGATAGGTCAAAAGAGCTGTTTAGGGTCCTTTCATAGGGGCATTAATAGGCTCCACTCACGTCTCCTAGTCACCTCCCAAATGCCCCACATTCCAGATATCATCATTAGGATGGCTACATAGCGATTTGAAGAGACACCACGTTCAGTCCATCACAGAAGGCAGAGGAGAAACAGATCCTCGGTGGTCAAAGCATTGACTTGCACTTCAAAAGAGCATCCCTTAAGATTAGTTTAGCATACTGACACTCAAGCTATTATATAGTGTGAGGAAAAATTATAAGTTGTACCAAAGTTAACATTTTTTTCAGAAAATGTTGATATCTGAGCCCAGCATAGCCTTTGTGTTTGTGAGAATTCTATGATGATGATTACAACTTGCTCTGTGGAAAGCTGTAAGCCACACTGGAGGTTGGACTAGATGATGAGTGACAGCAGGTCCTTTGATTCAAGAGACTGGGAGAAAAACAAAACATCAGAACATATTCTCACACCATGTATAGGGCACACAAGACCAGCTGCCCATCGGGAGAACGCTGCAGTGTTGCAGGGATGGATGGGAAGTACCTAAACATGGATGGTAACACGGGAATGGAGAGGAAGAGACTGATGAAGAGAAATTAAGAAAAACCTACAGTATTTGGGGACAGAGGGCTCATGTCCTATATGAAAGCCATACCTTGCAGAAATAAGAATCCAATCCTTGTATGTGTAGCACCTGTCTTAGCTACGGGTCCTTTGTGAAGGCAAAAGGAAAACAAAGCTATCTGACTTAGTTTAAAAAATCATGAACCAAAAATGATTATGAAAGACACTGTAAGCTTATAAATAACGTGGTAGGCTATATCGTCAACAGTCGTTGTATAAAGTACTACATCATTTTTTTCATCCATTAGGAAAGATTAATTCATTGCTGACTGTGCTCTTGAAAGGAAAGAGCTATTTGAGAGCACTCAGATGTCAGATACTCCTTCTCTGGTGCTAAGAGTTCGGGGCACATCACAAGATAACAAACTCTCCAGCCATTACCGTCTAACTCATCTAAGTTATGAAATCAAAGAGATCCATGAATGTAAATGAACAATGTAAATCACAGTACAGCACGTGGTATTGTATTCTCTTTTTTCATCAAGTAATTATGCATGATTGTGTGAGTACACACATAGCATGAGAGGATATTTGTCAACATAGTGCCTTTAATTTGGTGGTGCCATGTGTATATTTTCTACTAATTATTTAAAATTCGATTGTTGATGGTATATTTTATATATACCACAAATGACATTCAATTTTGTTTCACAAAATCCCATTCATTCAGAAAGGTTTAATGAAATGTTTAATGAACGCATGGGAACTTCCATGTAGATGTGTGCCATACGTACATGGTAAATTAGCATATATTATGTTGGCTTTATCATACAAGTCTATCTCTTCACCCCTCCATTAGGGAACACTATTTTTTACACATTATAAAGTAAGTTCGAGGCATCAATGCAGTTTGATCCTGGAGAATTTCTCATACAGAGAATTAGGAGTCGGAGCCAATGTTGCAAAGGAGATGGTGAGATTAAGTCCACCCAGGTCTACTTTAGATCCCAGATAGATAACAAGGAATAGAGGAGCAGACAAGGGGAGAAGCTTAGACCTGACATGGTCTCCTGGCTGGAAGGTAATGCCATGAAGGTCAAACCACCTCTCAAGGAAATGGAGAAAATAGAGAGGAGAGGAACATCTTGAAATTTTAGGACAACACCCTTTCAGTTGATTGACAGATATTCTCACTGTGCCTCATGAGGCAGCACATGGAGAAAGGTCTGCAGCTCCACCCCTGCCTAGTGAGGCAGTTGAAGGAAGACAGTAGGGTTTAGAAGCTCAGGGAGAAGCAGGAACCCCAGTTGGTTCTGAGATCATCATCTGATCCCTTGAACTCTGCAGGTGTTCAAGAGCCATGGGCAAGAATACCTTGTTGGCAACACACTGAGCAAGGCTGACGTTCACCTGGCTGAAATGGTCTACAACATGGAGGAGCTTGACTCCAACATCCTGGCTGGCTTCCCTCTGCTGCAGGTGATCTCTTTCACAGCCCTCACAAGATGGGGCCCTGCCTCTCCCATTGTGAATCTAATATTTGGAACCCGGGGCTTCTCAAAAGAATTTTCAGGCACTTTTTCTAAAGGTTTAAAAGAAATTTATGTAATGAAATTTGAGGTGGATACTAGACTTCAGTATTATCTTACCTTTCATAATGAGAAGGACCCAGAGCCCAGCATCTCTTCCCTCTGCCCCTACTCTATTGTGGGCTCTGTTCCTGATTTCCTTGGGATTCTGTTTACCCCAGGTTTGCCCTTGTCTTTACATGCTAAGTCTATCTGACCAGGACTCTTACCATCTGTTCCTACCCTCAGCTCTTGCTCCGACTCTCAGATGTGGTATTTGTCTCTGTATAGCTCCCCTACATACACCTAGTCCCCCATAACCCGTATTTATCTCTCAGTGTGACAGTGGGTTGTGACTGGCCCCTTTTCACCCTTAATATTTCCTTTCTCAATTCCAATACAATTTTGCCATGTCTTCATTTATTTGAAGACAACTCCAGTTGTTATCTGACAAATGCATTGTTCTTCCTTATATTGTACCGTAGCCATGAATCAATAGGGTTAATATGTAAGGAAGAAGGCAACGATGAATGGAACTGAATAAAGTCTTCAAGATATCTTTCTGGTAAATGCTATTGAGTTATGTTTTTTATCTCTTCCATTCATCATCACGGTCTCCTCCCAGCCTCCATACTAGTGCCAATGGAAGGATACAGTTAGTATTTGTCCAAGAGGGGCTCAGATTTCCTGGGTTTTGCTCATAGTTGGTTTGGTCATTGGGCTCCTCTCTGAGGATGTGATTTGTGTGCTGCAGGCCCTGAAAACCAGAGTCAGTGACTTGCCCACTATAAAGAAGTTTCTGCAGCCTGGCAGCCAGAGGAAGCCTCCTGAGGATGAGGAAAATGTACTAAAAGTAAAGAAGATTTTCAATTTTTGAAAAGTGGCATTGACTAAGTGCTTCACCTGAGTGTTGATTGGGTGTTATGAGATACTACGTTCCGTCATGTTTTATGTAGTCACAAAGAAGCTCCTGTGCCATGGTTTAATTATACTTCATTCTTTCAGTAGGATCTGATGTAGAATTGGAGTCTTAAATTGCTTCTAACATTTCTCTTTTCTGTGATTCAAAATTTAATAAAAAAAAGAAAAATGAGACCCTGCAGTTTGTTTTACTTCAAAGAATTTTCCTATAATGTCTGTCACGTAGTCTACTGAAGAGTCATGTTTAGACAGTTCTCTATTTTGACAATCTCAGGTATGTAGTGAAACATGGCTGGAATTTTGGGGATTAACATAACAAAATTTTCTTGGAAATTTACTTTAAATAACAAAACTATTTATCAGTTACTTATAGCCTGAAATTCATTTTCAGCTGGTTGCTCTCTTATCTTAGCAGGCAACCTTACATGAAAAGTTTTCCAGCAGACTGTGCTTGCTGTACACTGCACACTACCCTCTGGGTTCGCAGTAGAGGTTTTCCATGTGCTTCAGACATTCATCCAATTCATAAAAACCCCACAGCAACTTTCTTCAAAAATGCCACTCTCCAACGACTTGCAAAGAGAGCAAATCAACCTGAAGTTTTTATTGGTCTATTGCCAACCTTGAAAAAGAACATTTACCCATTTGTTTTGTGGAAACAGGTTGACCTACCATTCCTCTTCCAATTGGTATGGAATTTGTGTCCCCAGAGACCTATGGAAGTGTTTTTCTTCTGACTGGATTCTGCCCTTCAGTGGGAAGGAGTTACTCAGATGTGTAAACAGCATATAAACCCTACAAGACTTCTCAGAAGCAAGCTATGGAGCCAAGAGGGAGACAGCCTTTAACAAGGCCATTATTGATCCTCTCAATCTTATACACCTTCACATGTAATTCCTGGAAAAATACTTTAAAATGTGTCCTCCTCACAAGAAAACATCAATTGTATACTCACATTCAAGCTTCCTTAGTGTGTATGAGTGGCAGTTTAAGAGTTGTTTATTCAGCTGCTTTTAAATACATAATTTGAGATATATAATGAATTTAGAAACCTTGGACATGAGAATTCAAAGATATAAGAACAAATGATGTAGCACTTTAATTATCCTGCACCTGTGAGCAGTGCAAGAGGGACTGCAGGAGCTTATGCTAAAAATTGCTCTGTAATAGTGACATAACTATTTGAAATTTGTGAAGACCACAGACTTGGGATCCCCAGTGAAGGCACTATACATCTACACAATTTCCCATCAACAGTTGTTTCCTAAATCCCTACCTCCTGTTGAGAAAGGAGCCATCCATCCTCCAAACAATCTAATTGGAGACACCATAGCAGATAGGACACACAGTAGCTCCTCCCTTTTTAAGAGATGCTTCATAGTAGCTGGGTGCAGGTGGCTCACAACTGTAATCCTAGCTACTCAGGAGGAGGCAGAGATCAGGAGGATCGCAGTTCAAAGCCAGCCTGGACAAATAGTTTGTGAGACCCTATCTTGAAAAAAGCCCTATCACAAAAATTGGGCTGGTGGAATGGCTCAAGGTGAAGACCCTGAGTTCAAGCCCCAGTACTACAAATAAATAAATAAAGAGGTAATTCATGATTTATTGTCAAGTGTTGCTGCCATTGGCTTTTCAACACTTGTTTACTGTTAGTGTGCTCCAAAAGGTAGACAGAATTTTTTTGTGTGTGAACTGTTTGAAACTTACAAGTAAATCTAAGTCTGTAGAAATTCAGATTTATACAGGAAAATGACCTGGATTTATGACTTGAACAAAATTAAGAACAGGAATTCTCTTTTTTAAATAATGAAATCTGAAGAATTTTAAACCGTGATGAAAAGGGGATGAGCAATGTATAAATAGAGTGAGCTTTTTCTCACTCCCTTGTTGGAACGAGCTTCCTCTTGCTCCTGGTTATTACCGAACCTAACTGGGGCTTAACTGGGGGCAACTGGAGATTCAGAAAAGACACAGGATTGTTAGGGTCCGAGAATCCTATTCCTCCCTGAGACAGAGAATCACGCGTGAATGCAATCAACAAAGCAGGGTTTATTGAGCTGGCAGGCCAGGGTCTAGCTCCCACACAGACACGCAGGTCCAGTCGGGCAGGCAAGACCCCAAGCCTCTTTAGGGAGGATCTTATATAGGCCCCTACTGGCCGTTATAGCAAAAGCCCGCGCAATACATAGCCAATGAGTTTGTAACACCACATACATTTCCAGCCTATCCATTTAAGGGTACATTATTTCTTAGCCTATAGATTCAAGGGTCAGTATTTGCGCCACATACGTTTAGCAAGCAGGCAGGGCACATCTTGCACGTACATCTGGTCGTCGTTCGCAACCCGTTCGTGTTCCTCACATTCCACATGTCCGAGCCCTGCTTATCTTATCAGCACGGGGCACCGGTACCGGTTTCTGCTAGGGGGATCTGCTGAGACAAGCTTATCCCTTTCAAGGATAGACAGACAGACAGAAAGTGGGATCAAGTGTATTGGGCGCTTGGGTGGAGATGCCTAACCCTCTTTGCTTCTTTTCTCTTCATTTACTCTGCTTTTCTCTATCTTTATTCTTTAAGGCCTTACTCCTTTACATTTCTTTAAAACCTTGCTTCTAAAAGTCTTCTTTAAAACTTTGCTTCACTATTCTTTAAAACCTCTTTACTTAGACTCTTTCTGTCCCATGTTTTCTCTTAGCTGTTCTTTAGCACAATCTCTCTTAAGGTCTTTGCTCCCAGACTTGCAGTGTCCCATGTTCTCTCTTAAGCTTTCTTAAAGCCTTGGTGCTCAGACTTGCGAGCAAAAGCAGCCATGTCTAAAAACTGCATATACATAACTCTTAAAAGTCCTGGTCCTTAGACTTGCATTGTCCCATGTTCTCTCTTTAACTTTCTTAGTCTCGACCCTAAAACTTGCTAGCAATTCCCCTTTAGCAATTTCCTTCAGCAATTCTTCTCCCTTTAGCCATTCATTTTCCCCCTTCAGCAATCTCCCTCCAGCAATATTCCCTTCCAAAAGCCTCCCACATCCAAAAAGCCTTCCCCATCAGAAAGCCAAAAGCAAAAGCCCAAAAGCCCCGAAGCAAAAAAGCCTCAACGCAAAAGCCCCCAAAGCTAAAGCCCCAAAGCAAAAAGCCTGATGTCCTCCTTCAGTGAGTCTTTTATGTCCAGTGGTAAACAGGGTGGAGCAGAGGTTCTGGGGAGGGAGGTGACATTGAAACAGGAAAAACCTGCTTTCCTGCTTCTCTGAATGTAAACAACTTAGAACTAGCTGTTCTGCATCTTCCCCTCTGTGACTCGGCTGTGCCAATCTCACGAAAAGCAGTTGAGCTCATCTCACCTTGCTTCTGTCCATTCTCTTAGGCTTCTCATAATCAGCTCTCGACAGTACAATTTCTGTACGGCAGTGCTGATGGCATAGATTAACAAAAGATTTTTCATGTAGGACAGAACATAAGGTGGCTTTTAAAAAATACGGCATATACAAATTATTTGCAATGCCTCCTCACTTTCAAATATATACATTAAGAGGGAGGGAAGGAAGGACAAAATAAAACTGATAAACTGATCTGGAAATAAAATTTACAAAAGTAATGTCAGGAAAATGGAAGACACAAGGTCATACTCATGAAAATTAAAGTTGTGGTTCCACTGCTCAATGTGGGCATGAAGAAAATACTACAGGACCTAAAGCTAACAGAGGATGAATAAAAACAGTCTTCTTGTGCTGAGTTTTCAAGTACAAAGTTACCCTATAGTTTTCCCGCTCATTGAGCTCCAGCTGCATGTTTATCCATCACTCCCCAGTAACACAGATGGTTACTGATCTGAAGGAGGTCTGTTTGAAGACCATGGACATAATCACTCTGGATGGGGTACTTAAGAGGTGTTTCCAACTATATAGGATTTCACCATCCTTTCCCCATTTGTTTCTTTTTCTGCAACTTGGGCCAGGTACTAGAATTTCATCATCTGAAACCATATCACTATCCTCTATACTATTATTTGAAACTGGGTTCATTACACAGCCAGTTATAGGACTACTTCTACATGAATGAATCATTGGTAGTATGGCACAGGAATGAACATTGGTGAGAGTTTATATCTTCTTCCATGTTTCTTCTTTGTTTGAGCTGCCCTTCCCTCCATTTACCCTAAGATAAGTCTGTGCTAACCCATTCACCTGATTTTGGACTTACAGGAGCATTGTGTTGTTTAATAAAATGTGACCTAAAAGCTAAATCTGAGAGAGGTGGAAAAGGACACTTGTATAACATGAGTTCACCGATACAAATTTTTCTTTTGGACGGAAGCCCTGAAGAGTGTGTCTATTGCAATTCTTTACTTCCCCACAGCACCTTGCAGTTTCTGTTCAAAAGACTGGCCTAAAAAAATTAAATTAAATTAAAATTAAAGTTAAAAGGGGCTGGGAATGTAGCTCATTGATGGAGTATTTGCCCAGCATGTACAAAGCCCTGGGTTTTATCCCCATGATCAATGCACCACCCAATGGATTAGCAGCTGTGTGTCTTTCTTGGCTCCCTAAAGAAACTTCAATTTTCTCTACACCATTTCTTCTTGAGCATCACAATGGCTCACTCTTTCTTTACAAAGATTACTTCTTCATCCACACATAACCATCCTTTCTATCAGCACTTCTACTCCAATAAGTCTGGGGCCTTGCATCTATATTTTGACTATTATTTTCATGAGTTTTTGCCATTTTAACAAATTATGCACAAATCCTAGTGCTATAAATAATGCTTTTTCAGTTTTCTGATAGGAAGATTCTTCTGTGGGCTGTCTAGATGTGTCATCACTCACTGTCAAGATGGTCATTGGCTGATAAGGAGCTATTCCCGAGGGAAGAGGTGGGAGTTGCCAAAAGCTGAGGGCTTGCAGCAGCCCTCTCCTTCATTCACCTTCGGTGGACTGCGCAGTTTAACTGAGGTTGTCAAAGTGACTGCCGTTACTACAGTGGCCCTGGGAGCTTGCTAAAGTAGAGAAAGGAGGCCCCAGCCTCCTGTAGGTCCTACAAGCCTGGTGCCATTCTGGTTCTCTCCCACCCCTGATGATGGATTCTGACTCAGACTTTGGGCTCACTGCCTCTCTACCACTTCTGCTTCAATTTCGTTTTTTCCTCCTTCACTCCCCCAGCAACCCAGCAATTCCCTTCTTGTTATATTCTCAGTCCAACAAGTATTTGTTAATTCTTGCCCTTTACAAAATTCCGTATCTGCCTGACATCATGTTCTTTCCAAATTTCCATTCCTTAGTTTTTCTGTGTCTGCTTAAGTGAACAAGCCTACTTCTTTATTTATTCTGTTCAATCTACAGAAAATTGTCTTAATGATCAGAATTGGCTGACCCAGTATCATGATTCTGCTTAATATTTTATAGTACTAACTCTTATCAAGCAAGCTAAAAGGAGGAAACTGTAGAAATCTTGCACTTGTAACTAAGTGCAATACACAGTGCTAAAAATACCACAAGAAGTCTTTGCTCTCTGAAACCTCACGTTGTATGAGGTCTGTATTTACACAAATACATATGTAAATAACTGTAATACCATGTGGACTGTGAACATTCAAAATTAAGATTTATTATAATAGAAATAAATTACTCTGAATGTCAAAACTAGACTCTAATTCATCCTTTGCCACTAATTAGTTAGATGACAAGTCACATACTCGCTTTCCAGCTCATATATCTCACGGTAAACCTAAGGATAGCAGGAATTCCCACTCTCAGCACAGCCTTCTGGACTGGTGGATGGACTAATTTACATTCCCATGAGCAGTGTATCCAGCATCCTCTCCAGTCATTTGTTATTTTTTGGTTTTTTTGATGATACTCATTCTGACTGGAATGAGAATCTCAGTACAGTTTGATTTGCATTTTCCTGATGGCTAAAGATCAAGCTAAAAACTTTTTTGTGTATTTATTGGCCTTCTGTAATTCTTCTTTTGAGAAGCACCTGTTTAGTTCATTTGTCCATTCATTGAGTGAATCATTAGTTCTTTTTGTGTTTAATTATTTGAGCTTTCTATATATCCTAGATGTTGATCCCTTGTTGGATGAATAGCTGGCAAAGATTTTCTTCTATTCTGTAGGTTGTCTCTTCACTCTGTGGATTGTTTCTTTTGCTGTGCAAAAGCTTTTAACTTTGATGCAATCCCCTTTGTCAATTCTTGCTACTATTTCCTGAGCTACAGGAGGATGAGATAGCATCTTGGTTATTCTTTATTACTTTCTGGGCTCCTGGAACACTGAATGTTCCATACTGACATAAATATGTAGGTTGGAAAATTGAAAAGAAGAAAAGATTGATTACTTGAAGGGAATTAGGTTTTTTTTAAAATTTGGGGGATGGGGATCAGAAAGGTAGCAAAAAAAAACTTAAAAGGAAAAGAGTATTTTTGCATACACTAAAGTGTCAGATAAAAATTTCTACTAAATTTTCTTTGACAAGGTATATGACAGCTGGTATATGACAATTTTTGAATAGATCAGAATCTAAAAATCTGTTTTATTCAAATTCAAAGAGGTATTCTAGAAGGTGACCATGATTTCAAATGTGCTCAAAGCCAAATTGACAGCATTGCAACTACACCTGCTAGCTGATTTCTAATTAAATTGCCATAAAAACGATGGAGAACTTTGTTAGCCTCACAGTAAGCAGGATCAACATAAGGCACTTCATCGTTCCAAAACTTCAAAAGATTGGTATTGTATGTGCTATTCCTGTCCATGTTCTGCAACATTTACCAGAAACTCTTCTTCAGTTCCTCTACATATTTCTCATCCTCGAAAGGCTTCCTCTGGCTGCCAGGCTGCAGAAACTTCTTCACCGTGGGGAGGTTGCTGATTCTGGTTCTCAGGGCCTGCAATGCAGAGGAACAAAATCTCAAAGGGAATTCAAAATAAGAGTATCATTAACACAACCCAGGAAATCTAAACCCTTCCTTGACAAAGACTAATCCGGCCTCTCCATCAACATCAGTACAAAGTCTGGAAAACAAAGATGAAAGGTAGAAAATAAAGTGCTGTAATACTTTTCACCAACGTGTTGCTAAGACCTTATTCAGTTACAGTCATCCCTACCTTCTTCCTAACACCTTAGTCCTGTACATTCATCCATACTGGACAATATAAGGAAGAACAATGTGTCTGTCAGGCATCAATATAGAGAAGTGCCTAAACAAGTGGAATGACAACATGGGAAAATTGAGTTTAAAATGATGATAGAAAACAGAGCAGGAAAACCGGGTCCAGTCAAACCAATTTTCACACTAGAGGTAAAAATGGAGGGAATATGTGCATATGGGAGGGAGCTATGCAGAGAAATACCGTATCTGCTAGTAGAAGCCTGACAAGAGGGAAGGAACACAGATGGAAACAGACCTGCTCAGACAAATTTAGTGAGAAGAGACAAGGGCACACCTGTGATAAAGGGCATCTCAGAGAAATAAGGGTCAGAACCCATGAGAGAATATGAGGCTGTGGACAGAACTGGGCCCTGGGTTTATGTAAGGCAAAATGTGCTTCTAAAGGAAGCATCTACCTCAAACTGCAAGTGTAACAAGATTCTCTTTATATGTACAAACCAGGCCTGGAAGATCATTTTCAAGACTAGGGGGAGCAGAGGTGGAAATGATGATGGCTGAAAGTCAGAAAACCACGAGCCTCATGGTCCCAATACTAGATTTGTGATGGGACATGTGGAGATGCCTCTCTGAGACTGGGAAGGGGATCACCTGCAACAGAGGGAAGCTGATCATAATGCAGGAATCGAGCTCTTCCACATGGTAGACAAGTTCAACCAGGTGAATGTCAGCCCTGCTCAGCCTGTTGCCGACAAGGTAGTCTTGTCCATGGCTCTTCAACACCTGCAGAATTGAAGACCATGTACACACACAGTCAGGTGGAGGCACCTGCAGCTCTCTGATCCCCTTAGTCTGACTCTCCCACTCTTCTACCTCCCTGGACAGGTGTGGAGCTCCAGACCCTTCTCCAGCCTCCTCACTCATGAGGGAGAGCAGGAGTGGGGTCTTTTCTTTGTCAATGCCAGGCAACCTTTCATTCTCATTCCCACATCCCTGTGATGTTCATACCTCCCATCTGTTCCTGCTCATTTCACATGTGCGAAGGGCTCAGCTCCTGCTGTGCCATGACTCTGTCTACCTCACACCCTAAAAGGGTGCAGCCCTGAAACTGGAGGGCTGCCTCTCCCTTCCGCTCTCTCTAGTCTCCAATGGGCAGTGGTTCCGCCTTCATGGCAGCACCCTTTACCCATAAGTAGACCATTTCAGGGTCTACATTTACCCTCTCATCTGCTCTCCTAATTTCCTGGTTTTGTCACTGGGATCTAAAGTGAATTCCAGTTATTCTATCCTTTACAATATTGGCTCTCACTCTTAATACTACAGTATAATCTGCATCCTGAATGTCTAAGCATGAACTGAACTAATGCCCACAACTAACTGTGAAATGCTAGAAAGAATATGTTTGATTGGTGGAGAGAGTGAGAGAGATGATAAAGTCAGCATTATAGGATGTCAATTTTGCTACCAAGGTAGGTGGTATCTATGTGTACTTTAAAATTTCCTTTAACTTGTCTGGATGGATGAAAGTTACACAGAAAATTTTGGGGCTAATGTACAATATTTACTAAGATAACCCAGCTATATTGAAATCATGAAGAGAAAAACACGCATGGTTACAACCAACTAAAGATAATGTTTTTGTCAAACATTTTATCAGATTATGAATAATTGCAAAACAAAACACATGAAATTTATACTGCAATTTACATCATTGATTTATGTTCATGGGACTCTTTGACTTAACTGTAATGGCTGAAGAGCTTTTCATTGTGTGATATGCTTTAAGCTCTAAGCCATCAGCACCACAAGGGCCAGGAGGGTGAATCTGGATATCTGATTACACTTAATCTTACCTGCTTGCATTGGATCTGGCACACAAGCAATGAATTAACATTTGTTGAATGAATGAATGAATGAATGATCTGATGTTCTATAAGAGGGAGTTAAGCAGTTTGTCCTTTATTTGTAAATCTCCTATATTGTTAAGTCATTTTTTTGATTCATGATTTTATTCAGCATAATTTCAGGTAATTTTCATCTTGAAATGTTTCCCTTTGTCTTCAAGGAGAAGTCTTAGTAAAGATAGGTACCATGTATATATAGTGGTAGAATTACATTTCCTTAGTGTTGTGCAACTTTCCTAGAAAAATCTCAGTGCAATGTCTCTAAACACTGGAGATTATTTTTTCTTAACATCTCTTCATCTGTCTCTTCCTCTCCATTCCTCTGCCACTGACTGTGTAGACGCTCTCATCCATTCCTGAAACACTACATATCCTCCAGACAGACAGCTGGTCTTATATCTCCCTTGTGTGGTACACAATATTTTCTGTCATGTAATGCATTCATCATGCTATTCTCAGTCCAAAGACTGGTGTTCTGAATGATCTAGTCCAACCTCTAGCGGAGGTAAAACCTTTACACAGTCCAAGTTCTGATTATAACTATGAAATCCTGTCACACTGAAAATTCTAGATTTGGTCCCATTACAATAACACTTTCTGGGAACTTGTAACTTTGATATAAGTAATACAATGCTTCTTCACAGTCTCTCTTTATGTACTACCTTAAGTGTCTGAGTGCTGAATTAATATTAATGAAAGCATTTAAAAGGGAAGGTCAATGCCTCAGGAATACCAAGGTACTATTTCTCTCTTGTCTCTGCTATAAAATAAATGTTCCCCCAAAATTCATGTGTGAGATCCCAACCCACCATATGGTACTGTTTGTAGGTAGAGCCCCTGGGAAATAATTAGGTCCTGTACGTAGAGCTCTCATGAATGGCATTTGTGCTCTTATTTTGGGACCCCAGAGCACTCCCTTGACCCATCTGCTATGTGAGGACACAGTCAGAAGTTACCCATCTGTGAACCAAGCAGCAGGCCTTACCAGATACTAATCTTCCAGGGGCTTATCTTGTACTTCCCAGTCCCCAGACTATGAGAAATAAACATTTATTATTTAAACCACCCACATTAAGGCATTTTTGTTGTACCACCCTTAACTGCCAGTAAGACACTCTGTTAGGATAAAGACAACCTCTAATCTCAAAGCACTCTTAAAGGTGAAGCAGCTTCCATTCACCTTTTCAAAGGCAGGAAAGTAACAGTTTCTTGCTTTCTCTTTGATCTGGGCAAGGCTTGTATCCTTCTCCCCAGATGCAAGGAATGGGTAACGAACAATCATTTCATTCATATCTGCTGTACCTTCTGCATACATGTCAATACTGAAAGACAAAAAGCAACCTCTCTGTCAAATACTTTCTGCCTCAGATTTTATAGTTTAGAAACCTAAGAGAAGAGAGTATCAGATAGTGGCAAAGCAATTCACCACCCATGGAGGCCTCTTATTTTTACATTAGGTTAACATTTATATGCTAGATCAATGTACAGGAGAGATATATGTAAAATTTTTTTGTTACACACATGATCAATGTATACAATAGAGGTAGAAAGCGCATCAGTGATCCATCAAGAGTCAATGTTGAGAGAACCACTGCTACTATGAATAGGGTTTGCTCTCTGCTCTGATTTAACCTTTTTTTCTTGGCAGTCCTGGGATTTGAATTCAGGATTTGTGCCTGTCTGTTGTAGTTTGTTCAGTGAATAAACACAGTGTGATTCTGCGGGCTAAAGACCCACCTCCAAGGAAGCTGAAGACAAAGTCCCTGGCCTAGCCTCTCATATGTATCTCTGCACCTCTCTTATCCTGTTACACACCCAGTCTCACGTTCATTTCCAATGTTAGAAATTCTTCCAATTATTTGCCATAACACATGATTCATTCCACCACCCCCTACATGTGCTGTTGCACAACTCTGGTCATGTTTACATTTCTTGAGAACACACCTAAAATAACCCCTTACATGGGGCACTTTGTTACATGGTTATAACAAGTACATATTATAGGACACCTACATTTCTTTATTTCAAATGGACTTTCTAAAACGCTTTTTTAAAAATAATCCCTTTCTTGACATATGCTCACAACCATAATTGTCACCCAATTAAGTACACCATTCACTGGTTTTTAGTATATCATGGAAGTCTGAAAATAACAATAGTCTCCAATTCCAGAACATTGCTACCACACTGGATAGATAATAAAATACTTTGACAACCATTCCTCAATTCTCCCCCACCAGTCCCAGACAACTTCTACCTACCTTCTGGCTATTTGGATTTGAATGCTCTAGGCATTTTGTATAAAAGAAACCACACAATTCGTGGCCTTTTGAGTTTCGTATCTCTTATTTATCATAGTGCTTTCAAGATTCATCCATGTTATGGCCTGAGTACTTCATCCCCCACATTTTGTGGCTTTAGAACATTTTCTTCATCCGTTCATCTACTGAACATTTGGTTAATTTACACTTTTTAATATTATGAATAATGCAGCTATGAATGTTTCTGTGCAAGTATTACTGAGGATATATTTTTATTCCTGTTGGATATATACCTAGTGGTAGAACTGCTTGATCATTGATAACTCTATACTTAATTTTTTGAAAAACTGTCCACATTCCACACAAGATTTTATTTTCAATCAAGCAATTCCATCACAGAGGAAGAAAATATCATCCCAGCTTTGGTGGTGCTGAATCAATCTGACTTCGTTAGTTGTACATGAAATGATTCAGGTAACCCTGATACCTTGGCACCAAACTTGACAAACCATCAAGTTGACCCATTTACAGAATTAGATAGTAAGTTAGATCCTGGCTATCAACCTTGCAATTTCTGGAACTTGAGAATCAACTACTTTGGAACCTTCTTTCCTAGACTTTTATCTCCAGACACTCAAATACTTCCCCTCATCCAAGCTACTGGCTACAGTCTAGCCTCTAAAACCCAAAAACGCAATCAAGATTTTCTACCATCTTGCTAAATTTATAGCTCCTTAGTGTTTGAAAACCTCTATCACTGCATTATACCCATAAAGTGCATGTTGTTCTACAATGACACAACCCTGAACCCACTCCCAGTTTATTATTCTTTTATCTCCACAGGACATTCCCATATTGACATCAGTGTTGATGTCTGAAGCCCAGCTTCCTATTAGCCATGATCCCCCTGCCATCGTCCTCTTCATTCAAATTGGGACTTAGATCCTTTCTGTGTTATCTACTGATGTAAGAACAAAAAATTACCATACAGTACTCTCTCTTTCATGTCTTTCCCATAGAGATCATATTTGCTGGCAATGTAGTTGAGGATGGCTCTGGTCTGCACCAGCTTCATCCCATCCATCTCCACCATGGGCACCTGCTGGAACATCAAAACTCCATCTTTTAAAAGAAGGAAAAAAGATAAAGGGAAGTGAAATGTCTATGGGTCAGACATGTTCAAGAAGAAATAACATTTGTTGAAATAAATGAAGATACAAAAGGAGAAAATATTACTTTCTAACCTTTCAAGTAAAATTGCATTTAATTTTTTGTTTTCTGTTTTTTCTTTTTCTTATCAGTCTTCTTTTACCTTCAGACTATTATTTCGTTGGTGTTTTCCTCATCCAGATACACTGTTTGTTTGTCCCTGCCCATAGTTTTTTTGTACTTCATCTTTGTGGATATTTTAGTAAAAAGTTGGGGAAACTGCAACAAGGAAGCTGCTAGCTGCCCTTCAACACAGGAAGTTCCCCCAAATCACATGGTGTTCATGACATCAAGGCCAGTTCACAGGGAGATTTCTACAGAGGGTCTCTCTGTGGTCTTCAAGTTAACACCATGGGACAGTGTGTGCATGGAGGGCCTTTGTCCCTGACCCACAGCTGCTGGCCTTTCTTTTTCTCTTCATCCTCACCCTTTCACCTGGAACTCCAAATAATCTAACGCTATCTCACTGCCCATCTTAAAATATCACCGGGGGAAATGCCTTGTCAACTTCATCATAGAAAACAACTCAAGATAACTGCTGAACCTATTTCTCCTGCCATCTAATGCATGTCCTTGTGTGTCCTTGGATGGAGATAGCAGTGTGGGATTCAGAACTGACTATAGCTCAGTCATGAAGCAGACAGCATGAGAAAGCAAGGACAGGTCACACAGGGCCCTGGGGATGGATGGTCCATTAGCCAATTCTCAGAGAGGTCTGGCCCTTTTCAGCCCTGAGAGAGTTGCCAATCCTGCTAAACAAGGCCCATCCCTTACGGTTTACTACTCTCTGCCTTTCCACTATCCCCAGTGAATACCCTACAAACACTTAGATATAATCTGGTGTTTCTTGCTACCAGAAACCCTCTTAAAAGATATTTAGATACTAGTTCTTACCATTTTTTAATTTTTCCAAGTCTTTTTGAGTTTTAATACACTTCTCTTCAAACTGGAAAGCAGAAACAGTACGTGAGTTCATGTTAATTCTTTCCATAGCATTTTAGGCTTTTAAACTTGGTGGCTCTTGTCTATACAAAATATGAAGAAGGGAAGATTTTTGAGTATGGCAGGTACACAAGCAAGGTGGTCATGATCATGTGGGAATTTATATCAGATCAGTCAAATAAAGAGTATGGTCACAGCAAACACCTGCTCATTTGTAGTTCATGTCACATCCACTGTGACCATTCCTATGTCCCTGATTAGGTCATAATTTAGAGGCGTATCATTGGAAGGAAGAGGTATGCATTTCTTCTCATTACTTTGTAATGTCTCAGGAAAGCCTCTCCCTCTCTCTCTGTCTCTCTCTTTTCTTCTTCTCCTTCTGGCAGTACTCGGGTACTGGGGTTTGAACTCAGGGCCTCACACCTGTTAAGCAGGTGCTCTATCACTTCAGCCACTCCACCAGCAAGGCTGTGTCTCTGAGATCTCCACCATGGGATATGCCATGAACTGATGACCATCTAAATAGCTACCACGAGACCTCTGTTGTAATTTACATCACACCATACCCCAGGAGTCCTGCCATGGGTGGAGTGGGTCCTGGTTGTTAAATAGATTTTACTTTTATAACTACAATTGTCTTCCCCTGGAAAATGTTGGTCATGATAGAATAAACTTCCCAACATAAGGAAGGAATTAAGAGTCCCCACACTAACATGTTGTCACTGAAAAACTTAGGTTTCTGATATGGCTGTGTGGGTTGTCACCTTTTCAAGGTACTGGCTTCTTGACCTTGGATACCTTGCTGAACCTCAGTATTACAATTTGTAAAACAGTATACTTACAATAGCTGTGTTTTAGGTTGGTATGAAGAGGAAATCACTATGGCATGCACATGAGGAAAAGTTCCAGGTGTCTATTAATTGCTCAATAAATAAAAGTCATCATAAGGATTCTGAAAGATGGCTGCTATTTCATCATATCATCCTATCATAAAAAATTTAAATCAATATAACACTCATTAAAATATTCTCTATTCTTGATCAGCATCCAGTAATTTAAATATCCTGACATAAGTCATTTTGAATGGAATGGCAGCCAGTAGCAGGGATGTCTTGACCTGACCAGAAGTTCTGAGTGGTCACCCTTATGCAATACAAAGATAAAATCAGTTTTTATAAAACAAGATACTTATTAGGCAAAAATCTGTCAAGCCAAAAGTCCATGGAGACAGTTCTCAAGATACACGGATTTTGAAGTTGACATGTTTTGGTTCCAACTGCAGTTCTACCACATACAAGCTTCGTATTCTGGGTATGATTATTTAACCTCTAAAAACCTTCATTCATTCTTCTGTAAAATGGGGATAGAGAATTTTTCTTAAGCCAAATAGTGTTGCATTTTCAAAACACACATCATAGGTCCTGACCCACATAAGCCAAGTATCAAGCAATATTGGTGTCTGCAGGGGTTATCATGGGTTAACGGAGTTCTTTATGGTGAAAAGTCAATGTGGGGTGCTTCTATCATGTTCTGTGGAAGTTCCTTGTAGATCTACATGATTGCAAGAATATTACAAAGATCGTAATATAGTGTGCACCAGCAACTTACAAAGTGTTTAGTTCAAGAAAAACGCACAAGATAACAGTGGTCATCCCAGGAAGGTAGCCAAGGAGGACAGAGTTGGGGAGTGTGATATTGATGGTGAGGCTGATGGTGATGGATGGGGTTGCAACAATGACACTTTGGGAACAGAGAACACAGAAAATCTTAGCAAGGGTCTCCACTCAACCTGTGCCCCCCTCTATTCAGTCAAGCTGGGATGGAGAAGATGAAGTTGTGGGCTGCTAGGCATCACCTCTACTTCCCTCTCTGTGCCAGACTCATCTTATCCAGAGGCTTGAACCACAAAGCTAGCATCTGGATGAGGATAAAACCAGATTATTCACTTATTGAACACCAAAAACCAAGGATGGCACTACAGTTTGTATTTATATTGTGCTTGTTTCTTCAGAAATTGAGAAAGGGTCAGGCCAAAGTTCATGTATTCATGAAGAGAAAAGGAAAGTAATCCCAAATCTTAGGTAAATACTGTGCTATAGGGTTGAAGGTACAGCACTAAAGTTCCCCTATTGGTAAATGACCTCACCGCTTATCCTTGCTTTTCTGCTCTCATGTGAGGGACAAGATTTCCTGAGAGTGTCCACAACTTCTGCCTTGAGGAAACCTCTCACAGTTGCTGGGTCCTTCTGGTCTGACTGAGAAGTGCTTTTCCCAGTGACCCCTCTAGAGGGGAGCACCCACAAAGTCACAAAGATCCTACCAGATTCCTGTACAAACACTATGAAAAATGGCCTTTTCACACTATAAAATGCTTGATTCCATCTCTTACAGATACATATACTGCCTGAGGACAGGAATCTTATCTGTCCTTTTCACCCTGTATCCCCAGGATCTAGCACAGAACCTGGTACTTAATAGTTGCTGAACATAGCAGTTGCTAAATTAATGTGGTCTGTGGTTAACATGCAGTTTGTTACTATCTCCTCCTGCCTGCCTCTAATTTACGATAAGTATTTTCACTGTAATTGCATTCATTTTGTAATAGTGTACCTTTTACTATGGAAGTTTGTGAAATGTATAAAATACACAGAAAAACTGTTTCTCCTTGTACTTACTCCTCCCCTAGCTTCAACAATTATCTCAAGCCTGCTGGTTTTCATTTATGCCCACCCACTCTCCTTCTCTTGCAATAATTTAAAGGAGATCAGGCACACTCATGCCCTTCAGAGCAATATTCCAGTCAACCAGACTCTTTACATAAGCTAGTGCCATAAAATTATAAAAGAACTGAAAAATTTCCTATTGTTTAGAGAACATATGGATGAGGAAGAACAAGAGGATAGAAAACTTCAGGAGAAGAAAAGGAATAACCCCAAGACAATCCACAGGGAAGGGCTTAGTGCAGCTTTTTCAGACTCAATAAGCGCCTTAAAAAGTTGAAAACATGAGCCCCAACATGGATGGTTTCATTAACAGAGAGGAATTTCATAACGTATTATCTGCTTTCAAGGAAGTCTGTGACAGTTAAAAGGAGCAAACCAAGCAACCCAGCATGGATGTACTTCTGAGAAGTCTGATACCTCCTCGGGAGGAGCCTCAGGCAGACCCTTCAGATCCTGCAAGTTCCTGCCCCAAAGACTTTCAGAGAGTCAAGATGTGGAGGTGGAAGTCAGTGATACTGAGGACCCTGAACCAGTGGGTCTGTCTGCCAATGTGTGAATTTGCATCTTAGCTTTTAACAAAAAATTTTAAAGGAAAAAATTAAAACATTTAAAAAATTTAAAGACCTTATAGAATAAGGATATAAAGTACAAAATATTTTATATAGCAAACAATGCATCTGTTTTAAGCTAAGTGTTAGCACAAAAGAGCCAATTTTTTTAAATTGCAAGTTTATAAAGTAACAAGGTTACAGTAATCGGAGGTGAATTTATTACTAAGAAAAGAGAATTTTTAAATAAATTTAATGTAGCCTAAGTGTACAGAATTTATGATGCTGACCACATTACATACCATGCTAGGTCAGCTTTCTGTTATTGTAACAAATACCTGAAATAAATCAACTTAAATAGAGGAAAAGGTTTATTTTGGCTTGTGAGCTCAGAAATTTCCATCCAGGGTCAGTTAACTCCACTGCTTTTGGACAAGTGGAGAGGTAGAGCATCATGGTGGGGAGTACATAATACAGAATTACACCAAAAACATTAATAATTTAATATGAGAAAATAATTAACATTCATGTTTCTAATTGCCTAAGTGCTATAATTTTTATGGCTTGTTTAAATTCAAATGAGGTCTACAAATTGTGATAAGTTTCTTAAATCTATTTTAATGTCTATGCTCTCTGGTAAGAAGAAATATTCATAATTTACTGAGTAAAGTCTACAAATCTTCTAACAATTGGCAATTTTTACTTTCAGCAATATTCTTGACAAATCATTTAGTAAGAAACCTCACTTGGCTCATGTGAGAAAAGTATCTGATACAGTCAACTGTAGGCCCAACTTCATATGATTTAACTCAGAACCTACCTCCACTCCAGCTGCAGCCAAAAGCCAGCGGATGGACTCCATTCTGCCCCGTGAATTGAAGTAGTGAAGAATGGGCTTCCCTGCCATGAGAGCAGTCCCTTGGTTTCTCTAAATGTAAACAGATGAATGAAACAAACCATGGTATCAAAGGTACTTTATGATGGATAGACACACTGAAGAAGTATCTGCCTTCTTTATGGAGGGGCTGGAGAAGTTCCTGGAACATATTCACTAATCTAAATTGCTACCCAATCAGTAGGCACCCTCAGACTCGTATCCCCATTGGTTAAAATATGACTGCTCTTGGCAAGTTAATGAATGGCAATAATGCATGCACAGGAGTTAGAAGGAAAAGGAAGAACTAGAGGATTAATTGAAAACCTACTACTGGTCCCACTCTAGTTCTAGTCTCTTGATACATAATGTCTTTAATATTCATCATAGCTCCCTGACCTAGTTGTTATTATCTCCATTTTCAATTAATGGAACTGAATACCAAAGAAGTTAAATGCAATGTCCACATCAAAGTCAATGAATGCCATGAAAAAATCACAATGAGGAACTGAAACAAGGATGGTCTCAATGCACACAGGTGAAGAGCCTGTGAGCTTGTCAGGGCTTTGAAATCAGAGGTATCAGTGACAGCAGGACCAGGAGGAGCAGTCATTACTCAGCCCTTTGGCCATTAGGCTGCATTTGATCAAAAAGCAAAAATTAGGCCTCAAGAATTGTTCAACTTTAGCCAACAGATCCAATTCATTGCACAAACAGGCAATGCTTGCTTCTTTGGATTCTATGTTCTACTTCTGCTACTTGTATTTCATTGTATAACCTAGTAAAAGGGATGTTACTGCACCCACTTTACAGAATATGGAATGGAGAAACATTTGTTCAATGTCAGACACACCCTGGTATTCACACAAATTTAGCTTCATTTTATGTTTTAAAAACAAAAATCACCTCTGAGGACTCCTCATTTTATAGTTGGGGATACTAGAGTTTCTAGAGCAACTTGCCCAGTGAAGTGCTGTACCAGGCAGGATACAAAGTCACTCTTGTTCAAAACCAAAGTCTAGGCTTTATTTTCTATGCCAGTGATTTTCCAATACGCCTGGCAACTCTTCAGAGGATTGTGAAATCCACTAATTTAAAAAAATGAAATAGAAAACAGTATCAGAGCACAGAAAGGGTAATGTTTGATGAGGTTCTCGTTTGAGTTATGTGTGTGTTGTGTGTATGGATGTGTGCATGCTCACTTGGTCATTGCAAGAGATACACTGATGGAGTCCAGTAAGGAAGTTTGATAGTCCTTACTCTGTCTCAGGCTTCCTGGGAGGTAAAACATGGCAAAGAATCAGAATGAAAATCAACAGCGCCTCAGAGGAACAAAACTAACAGTATCGTGAGTGTAAACAGAAACACAAGACTCACTGAAAGCAGGAGCACCAATGCCAGGACGTGGGGAAAAACAGCTACATTTCTCTTCAAACCCAGAGCCCTGTTATAAAACATTAAATTTCTTTTCACAAAATATTGTTGTTGAGTTTAAAACAATATGTTTTTGTCCCAACAGATGTATTTCTGAAAAGTTATGTGTGACTTGAATTTTACACTTTAAATGTTTCGATGGTCTACATTTTACAATGTAGGACACACAAAAATGGAACCTTTAAAAGGTATGAAATCCTTTACAAACATATTTAATCAACTCACTAGTCTTGTAATTGGAGAGTCTGTACATCACACTTTTCTCTCCCTTCTCCCTCCCTTCCTTCCTTCCCTCTGTAATGAAAGTACTAGCAAAGTTTGTTAGGAAACTAGTATACTTTCAGTAGGCTGAAAGTGGATCAACTCTACAGAATGAGAATGAGAATGACCTATTATAGTCTCTTTCCAGGGAAATGGAGGTGGCATGACTCAGTAAAAGGAAGGCAAAGTCAAACTCACACTAATATGTGAGGTGTGTGTCTTAACTGCTAGGGACACACAGTCAAGTTATTCAAAGCCTCACACTTAGCTCTCTTAGTCACTAAGAATCATGCTACAAAGAGAAATGAATTTTTACCATAATGCTCAACATTGTAAGTAACTTTCTCGTTTCATTCCAAAGGCCAGGCCAAGGCTGGGACAAAGGTTACCACAAAGTTTTGCTGAGTCGACAGAAAATGAGACCAACAGAGATTAGATAATTTCCCATGTGTCACACACCTATTCCTCATTCACAGTCAGTATGTAGGAAGAAGTCATTCCTGTACAACCACCCTGGAATTAGCTTCTGGCATCCTATTTACTGATGAGTACAGGAAGTTCAGAGAAAGAACCACCTGCCCCGGCTCACACACTGAGTGTTAGGTCACTTGAACTTCTGGATTCAAATCAAGGTTTTTCCACTCAGCCCTGGGGCTCTCACCATCATCTATGCTTCTGAGGACCAATGAAACAGAGGGTAGGGACCCACATCTCCCTGTGGCTCTAGGGCAGGAGCTAAGCATTATTAGAAATACTGTGAAATTCCATCAAAGTACTGTTAATTTTAATGATAAGCCTTTATTCTAACCACTACTTGTATTGTTTATTTTTTTCCCCTTTAAATGTGCTGAGATGTTAGGGCCTGTGGGAATTTAACTCCCTATTGACAGCTGTTAGATCCTTTCCTGGAGCCTGGCTGACTTAAGTGAAGGACCACCAGTCAGGCAGCTGGACTGTCCTCATGCCAGCATCAGCGGCTTTGAACCCAAAACACAACTCTGGCTGTTGAAGTCACCACCCCAGCAAACAGCTTGCATTGTCTTTTTGCCACCACAAGCCTCAGTGAATTCTAGAAGATCCTGAAGCCTCTCCCACCCATGCCAGAGAAGGATCACTTCCCCGGTGACCCAGGGATGGGTCACTTGTGATAGTGCAAACACAGTCCTTCATTTGCATAAGAGACAGCCATGCTGGTGACAGTGCATGTGCCTGTGCCGTGGTTGGTAGCAACAGTCCTTCATTTACATGAGGGGACTGCCATGATTGGTGCAGATACATGTCACACCTTCTTTCTGGCTGTATATGGGGGCTGTCCAGTGAGCTTTGTGACTCAGCCAGGAGACACCCTCCTGTGCTGCCAGCATTTGTTCCTATGAAGGCTCAAGTGGTCTTTCTTGCCTACTTCGGGTGTCATCAGTAATAGTGTAGCTGATGTAGTAGTGCAAGGGTCCAAGAAGCAGAGCTAACACCAGCAGCCAATCAGTGGTGGAAGCAGTGGCAGAGCTGACAGGGGTGCCCACAATAGCAGCAGGAACAGCACTGAAGCCAACAACAGCACCTGTGACAGCAGGAGATGGTAGTGGGAGCAGCACTGGAGCCATCAGCCATAGGAAGCAGAAGTAGAGGCTGAGGGAAGAAGAAACTTCGGACCCTGGCTGTGGAAGTTACTAGCACAAAAAATAATAAATGTCTGAGATCATGGTTATGCAAATTACACTGACCTGATCTTTACACATTGAATGAATGTACTGAAATGTTATACTATACTCCTTAAATATGTATGATTACTATGTGTGGATTAAAAACATATTTAGAATACTAAAAACACTTTTAAAATATTTAAAGCAAATAGGTGTGCTAATAACTACTTGACCCTTACACCTATTTTTAAGCTCGAAGTATATAAGTCATTACTAATTCAGGACAATGAGAAAACAAATGAGGCAGAATGATTTGTGATTCAGACATTCAATGAACTGTATACCCTATCACTATTTGTATTTAAACTCATTTCCACTTGACAACTACATATTGAGCACCTTCTTTGGGCAAGCAGGAGGAATCAAGAAAGCCCCCAGATATGACTTGGTCTCCCAGGACCTGCAGTGCAGCACACCAGGAGACAAGTGCTGACTAAGTCCTCAGAGGACAGGCATCTGACAGGCTTGGAGGCCTAGGGAAGGACACACAGAGGAAGCAGGGTCCCAGTGGGGACCTTGAGGAAAGCAGGAATGAGCCTATTAACCAGGATACCAGGTAGAAGAAGGACTTTGAGAAAAGGCCTCCTGGTACAAGAGAGCATGGTTTGTTCTCAGAATAAAAGGAAATGCAAGGGAGTTGTGAAAAGCGAGGGTGTGGTGAGAAACGCAGGGCTGTTCATCCATCTGAGACAGAAAAGAGAGCCTGGTTCTACCCTAACAGTGAAGGATTAACGAAGTGGGCTTCACAATCAGGTCTGAACCCAGAAAGTGCATCCTGGCTGGGAGATGGAGGCACAGTAAGTTAAGCAAGAGTTTAACTGAGGATGGTAGCCTGGCCTGGAGAAATGGCAATGAGGGTGGAACAAGGGAGGTTCGTGAGGTAAGAATCAAAAGCTACTGTGGGGAGCAAAGCAGTGATGTAGCAGGGGTGACTCATCCCTAGGTCTCTGGCTCAGACCAGCAGGAGAGGTAGGGATTTTGGGATCATGACACCCTTCCCTGAGCCAGAGACCACTGCAGCAGTTACAGCCTGTGTGCTGAGGGAGGTGGGAGGAATGAGGGACAGTATGGAATATATTCAGTCTTAGGTACCTGACAAGTCAGGAAAACACCCTTCCTACAGATCTGAAGCTCATGAGAGAGATCATTCATCATGGGGTTGTAATCCGGGGACTTAATTTTCTCTTAAAGAGAAGCATCAGTGTGAAAGGCAGTTTTCCTCTCCATCCTGAGTCCCCCAGTGGTTCCTGTAACCCTCTCGACAACACACTCCCTTTTACCAAGGATGAAGGGATGCATGAATGCATCAAAGCAACAACTCTGCCTGAAGACGCCCTATCGAACCCCTACTACTCCCAGCTGTATTTCTGGGCACCACACAGTCCCTTAACCTCTTTAGTGAACTAAGTGTTGTTCTAATAAAACAAAACAAATCTAACCCCAATCCTTGCAAGCAGTTTCTAGGCTCAGAGAGCCTTGTAAACGTCCAAAAAAGCAACATGGGTGCAATGAAGCACGGAGATTTACTGCACTGCCTACAAAACCAGGTGACGAGGCCTTGCCTTGTTATCAGACCCAAGTCCTCCAAAATTTGGGGAATTCAGAGAGATTTTTTGCAAACTATTATATGCAAAGCATTTTCGTTCGCTTAGAGTAAAC